TATTATATTGACCTTTCAGCTGTGCCTGGCTAACAGTACAGAAGTTACAATGATGTGGCTCACATGCACTCATATTACTGTATCAAATAATGTCAAAATGACCTTTGGTCTGTACAAAGTAACTTGTCTTGGTTGTGTTTTAGTAGACTAGTATTTTGTAAAATACAGTCACATTTCAATTATTATACATTATATAGATTATTGCTATTTTTGAAATAAGTTCTTAAACTTATTTTTTTTTAAAACATAGAACAGTAAATAAAGAAGTAAAGCAAACAATTATCTCTTCTAGTTTTGACATTTGTACTCAGTTGCTGCTTGACATAGGTTGCTAATCTTTGAAGAAGAAAGTTAAGAATATACATTTACAAGTTTAAAAAAAGTCTAAGTTAATTACTAAGATGGAAGATGTGGAGGATTATAAAAGGTCAAGAAAGTTGCTTGTAAAGGATATTAGAAAATAAACCAAGTACTTGTTTAGAGTCAGTTATGCCTATTTCCATTATGTGAATTATTGTATATATATTTCTTATAATTGATACTTGAAACCATCAATACTTGATGAAACTCCATTGTTTACTGAATTGAGGAAAAGTGCATCAATTGTACCTTTCACAAATACATCATTTATTGTGACCATGGTTTCACCAGTAAAGGCATCATCAGGTACAGACTGAAATGTTTTGTAGCAAGGATTATATATATGTTTAAACAAAGAACCAGAAGTGACCTTGACATTCATCTAGACAAAGGTGGGGAGGAGCTTAGGTTGGTTTGGTCATTTAGAACTTTTTCTGGATTTGCTCTTAGACATCTGTTTATTTCCAAAATTTCCAGACTTTCTAGTTTTACGGATATGTAAAATTTTGCAGTTTTTTTTCTAGATCAAATTGATGTTTAGTTTCAAGAAGGTGAGATGCAAAGATTGAATCCATTTTCCTTAACTCCCAACTTCTAGAGTGTTCTTTAATTCTTGTTTCTGTGGGATTTCCTGTTTAACCTATATATAAACTATTGCTGTCCTGAGATGTTAATTATTTTTACAGTAGAAGGCTGGTCTGTAGATTTCTTTTTTTCAGTGTGTTATATATTTTGTGAGAAGGTTTTCTAGTGTATCTCATCTCTCTGGTTTGTCAGGAGTTGACCACTTTCATGTAACAATCATAACACACTGATGATTGTCCTAACAAGGGTTTCAGTAACCTTTTAGTTTTGGAGTTGAACAGCCCCCCCCTCATGAATATGCATCTTGGTCACAAGTCTTTTTGGAGGACTTGCCCAGACCCTTTTCCTCTTTGGTAGATTAGCTATTCAGGTATTTTATGTTCTGTACTTATCTCCCATTTCTTATGTTCCACCCCTGCCCTTCTCATGTGTTCTGATCCCACCACCTCCTTTGTCAGATCGGGGCTATCCAAGGGTATATGACATGTACTACTCCCTTCTGTGGTTCCCAAGTCTGTTTGTTTCTTTTGTGAAATTCTCACCTCTCCCATGATCTTTTCCTATCACTCCTCTGGCTTGAATTCGCTTGGCATTTTCTTCCCCTTCTGATGATGATTGTCGCCTTTTTCATGTTTTCTTCCAATCAAGCCCGTCACTGGCTGCACTTTTCAATCTTCCCTTGGGGGACATCATCAGTGCTGTAACTGTTTATTTGTGTTGGTAAGTACTCCATTCATTTTTCTTTGCAGGGGCCTTTATTGTATATTTGAATCCCACTCTGTGGTGACTGTTGCCTGACCAGGTATACTTGGTCTTAAGTCTGCACTGTACAACTTCTGAATATGCTAAATGACTGTGACATTAAAACTCTTCCTACTGCAAACCTGATTTACCATTCCAGATGCTGCTGGGCATTGGCTGATAGACCCCGTCCAATATGTCCTTTGTGCATCAATAAGTAACGTAGAAAAAGAGAAAAAATAACGTCACAAGGTCATTTTATGCCCACCATTGAGATGGACCCATCGTAGGTGTACCTTGTGATCTTTTGCTTCATAAATATGTTCGTAAATGACCCTACACTCATGAACAAACATGAGTAAAGCATATAGGGATCACTGCCCATCTCTGATGATCCATGGTGTTTGATGCTCATCCTACCATGGACCTAATATACAATTCCAGACCCCACCAGGTGTTGGACAATATACTCTGTCAATGTGATTGCTCTGCTTTTCAATGTAGGGTATTGTAGGCACACATTGTACTATCTACATTATTTCCCTCCTTCTTCTAATACCACTTACTAGTTCCTAGCTACTGGGGTGGTGGACCATAGAGGCCTGACCTCCAGAGTGTGCATCATACCACTCAGCTTGAGAGTAGGGAGGTGGCATTTTGCAGGTTTCAGTGGCATGACACCCTTCCTATCAAAGGCTCGATGTACAGTTTCAGATGCCACCAGGTGTTGGATGTAACACTCTGCCATACATATATTGCAGTTTACATATAATTGCAGTTGAGACATCCTCCTGATATAGGTTTCTGGAGATCGGCTGTTGGTTGGAGAGGGTCCAGCCAAATAAGTCCTCACATAAATTCTCAATGCCACCAGATTTTGGACTGGAGATGCAACCCCAAACTTGTGGTCCCTCTTCCTACCATGGACTGGTCGACAAAATTTCCAATGCTGCTAGTTTTTGACCAGAGATGAATATCCACCTGGGCTCTTCTCCTTCCTACTACCTGCTGGATGTTGGTTCCTGGTGGATCTGGTGTTTGTTGTATTGGAGATGCACACATGTGAAGACAAGTTCTTGGTACAGGAGCTCCTCTTCCCTGCCGGTAACCATTTTTGAGATGAAAGGTAGAGGATGTACAATTTCAGATACTACCAGCTGTTGGTTGAGGTTGAATTCCCATTTACAGTCTCTTGTGCCCTAGCCAATCCACCCCAGGGGATACCATTATTTTTTGCAACATCTCCAAGTTCATGCCCTTTACGTTTTGGTGACATAATAATAAAGGGCGTAGAGTATACCTGTCTCAGAAGTGGTGCAGTCATCCACTAGTGTGTTGTTTTTAATTCCTTATCACACCTCATGGTCTCCCTTTGAGGACTTCATAAAGTGAAACATCTTCTCCACCAGTTCAATGTGGGATTCTAGCTTTTTGTGAGAGGAGGTAAGATATCATTTTGGAAGTTAAAATTTTTCTAAACAGAAAATGTATTTCCAATAAATACTCGCCTCCTCTCACATATTCCACCTGTTATCTCCATCTTTGGTGTGAAGTAATTTGGTTAGTTATCACCAATCTAGAAGTGATTAACATGTGCATAATTAGAGAGGGTGCTAGTTACAATAGGGGTAGTGTCGCACTCCTATTGGTGGAGGGTTGCTGCATGATCACTTGCATGTTAGTATAAAGTAATAAGTGTGAGTAACAAGGCTCGTGACAAGTTAAAATTTGTGCTAATAGAGGGCATAACAAATCAAGAAAGTTTTTTGTAATGAAGCAACTGGAAATTTTTGAGGAAATTTCATCAATTGCTTCAATAGTTATGAATAATTAAAAGTATATGAGATATACTTAAAATAAAAGCTTTAAGAGTTTCAAAGTGAGTAAACAAGTTAGGAAGGATATAAAAAAGGAAAAGGGACAAGGAGACGCCTGTGTTGAGAAAAAATAAGCCTTGAGAAATGAGTAAACAAGAACGAGGTTAGACCTTCAGCAGGAAATAGCAAAGCACGTGCACAAGCTGCAGGGGCGAGCCTGGGAGATTAGTGACCCAGGGTCAATAGCAGAGTTAGTTAACAACCTAGTTAGTCATCACTATTGCATCATGTCCGGGAAATGAACGCCAATGATGTGACCATTTAAGGGAGTGTTGGCCTCGTTTCCTTAGCACTGTAGAAGCTACAGAAAAGTTTATATTCTATGAATCATCTTGGTGCTTTGATGCAGTATTAGTTACAGTACATGGGTGTAGCAGCACAAGTAAATAGGCGACTGGCTAACACCAATTACTATGACCAATAACCTGAGGGTTTTGGTTTGGTTCCTGGATTAGCCCGAGAATTGCCTTGAAAGCATCCAATAGGAGCACAGCACTACTTGTGGGTGATGCTGTGTCCTATTTGGACGCTCGCTAGGATACAGAGAAATTTTGCTTTAAAAACCCATGTCAGGAGCTGAAAAATCAGCTCTCCAGCCATCAAGAAACTCTCCATTAGTTTCCTGGCAGTTAGGACGAAATCATGCAACTGAGATCCTCTAATGTAGCTACTGCTTCAAAGGTTCCAACTCTACAGTAAGTATCTCTGTCTCTTGATCAGTCCTTGCAAGAAGTATTAAAGTTTTACTATTAATATTTAAAGATTTGTACGTTGAATTTTCATAACAAGAAATTGTTGTTAAATGTTAATAAAGATTACTTTGAGTATTTACTGTTGGTCTGAGACTCATATTCTTTAGTCTAACTGTAAACTCCTCGAGTTAGCGACTTGTGGCTCCACTCGTCACGACAAAATCCTCCAACAAATAAATTTGGTGTAAAGGTTGGTTTTAATTGAAACTCCAACAATTAAGCTCACCTGAGCGCTAACCTTTTACAGTAAGCAGAGATAAGTATTTATCAGAAATACATTTTCAGTTTGGGAAAATGTTAGCTTTAGTTAAGCTTTTCTGGATTATTAGTTTCTAAGCTTCAGTTATCTGATAATTCACTAAAATACAATAATTGTTGTTTATAATGCAGGTATGCATGCATGTGATGCAAGAGACAATCATTCAAATTCCATCCTTCTGATCATACTGTTATAAACTTCATATGTTTAACAAAATATTTAAGCAATATTATTGATATTCTTTTTTGTATCATTGATTATTTCAATTAGTTTATTTTTTGACCTGAATAAAGTATTTTAGTTAAATTACTGTTTTTTCTTTTTTAATAGCAGGCCTTTTTGTGAGAAAAACCACAATTGTGTGTAGTGATTCACATGTACATCTTCATTTGTGCTGGCAAACTGTTTAGGTGCTTAAAGATAAATTATGACAGAGTAATAGTAAGAAAACATTTACTCTTTAATGTTACAAATACTTGCATTATATTAGAAGGATTTTATCAAGAAAAAACAGGTTTTACATCAGGTGAAGTTCACCTATGTATTTCATCTTCCTCCTTCAATTTTGTATCCATTAATCGTCAATTTCCTATGACTTTGAAACATCTACAATTTGACTTTGTTGCCTTTGGCTGCCATCTTCTCTGCATTATGAACAATCACCATGAATTAATGATCTTTTACAATGATCCCCAAATAATTTTCATAGATAACATGCATAAGAAAATTCAAACTTCTGGCATAGTGGTTATGCTGTCTTTCACACAGCTTTGAGGTTTAATTTCTAAGGTTGCCATGTATCTGTCTCAGTTTGTGCTTAATCCAAAAGGCACATTTATTGATGGTAATGATATGATTATCAGCAATAGTGTATTGAGAGGAGGTTGAACTCTGTTCAATCGGTGGTGTCAACCATAACTCGTTTTTTGACCTGGCCTTTTGGCAGAGGTTTTTGCATCTTCCACAATCATCTTGTTTTAATTTCTACCTTTCAGGGTCCCTTATCAGGATCCCACTCTGTGGCAAGTGTTGCCCAGACAGGTGTGCTTTTATCAAACCAATTCCACACTAGCAACCACTAATTCAGTATGCTTTATACAAGTTTCAACAAGCTCTGTAGAAATGAGGTGTTCCATAAGACCACCTTGGAGCTGACCATTACTCTTCTATGATTGACTGCTACTCATGGACTATCAGTAATAAAGTTTAAGGGGATTCTGCCCATCCCTGCTGATCTTTGGATTGAATAAATCAAGGTCAATTTGATTTTAAAAATTTAGAGAACTTGGTTCACCTATTGCATTGTTTCTAGAGCACTGTTCATCAGGACTCACCAATGTGCATTACTTCCCAGATTCTACTAGTGGAGCTAGGGAGTCCTAACCACACCCAATTTCCAGTCCCTAGGGTGGTAGACAGAGGCTTTTCCTCATGAGTCTTAGAGTGAATTCCTTCAATCTCAGAGAAGAGAGCAAAGTTAGGGGGCCCTCCTACTGGGTCCTTGGATGTTTTTCCCAGATGTTGGTAGTAGTGGCACCAGTCTACGCAGGAGCCTACTCATAATACTGGTTCAGATTTGATGCTCAGCTATCTGGTTGGGGTGTGCATGGTCCTTATTTTTGATCAATATAGATTCAATACATTGTTCATGGAAGGGGATCCACTATCTACTCATAATTCTGAATGCAGATTGGTCTCATCTTTGATCCTTTGTTAAGCACAGTTGTTCCATGTCCTCCCCATCATTTTAGGAGTGAGTGGTATGTACCTTGCCCACATGGTCGGGGAGTGAAGGTGAATGTTCATAATTCCAGACAGGAGGAGTTCTGTTTCATTTGGTTGAGTAAGGCATACACAATCCCATCTTTCCAAGCCTAGGGTGTTACCTTTCGGGCTTCTTCAGGTGGAGGAGAATGTTTTTCCACTTTGGTGTTGCTTACTTTCTCATCATGATTCCGGTGGTTTAGAATGCTTCACTCTATGGCTACAGGTTGGGATTCATTCTGTAATTTTTTTATGTACCTTTGCAGTCCAGTTGCCACCAATGTGGAAAATAGGAACCACAATCCCAAGTAGTGGAACCTTGGCTATATCGGTGAGGCTGGCCTATAGGATGAACACTCATGTACTATTCCCCCTTTTATACAGGAACTAAGTTCGGGGTGAAGAGCATACCTGTTCTGGATGTATTGCAGAGTCCCTACTCGGGTACTAATCTTATCCTGGTACACCCATGATATATATATATATATATATATACATTTCATGTATGGATAATGCCCTCACTGGCCCCTACACCTTCTCAATGTAGGATTCTAGCTGTAAGAGTCAGCAGAGGTAAGTATGTTTTGGAAGTTAACATTTTCCTAAATTGAAAATGTATTTTGAATAATACTTACCTCCACTGACACTCTCTCACCCTTCCTCCTCACTAAGAGTTGGTGTTAGAGACTGGGATTGATTCAGTCTTCAAAAACTGATAACATTATCTGAATGAGGTGCTTATATACAGTACCAGGATATAGGCCACATTGACTTAGGTGGAGACTTTCACGATATAAATATTGCCAAGGGCTATAAAAGACTAGAGCAAGCTAGAAAAAATTAGACCAATGCTTAGATGGGCAAAGGAAGAAATCCTGGTTGTTAAGTAATAACTATAAGTATGAAAGGGGGTAAATGTTATTGGAAATATATTTTCAATTTGACCTATCTCATAACCATCAGAAATGTGCCTTTCTTTATCATCCCTCAAAGACCTTACTCTCATTCTAGCATTATGCTTACCTTTGCTGTATTTAGTAAATATTTAATGATAATTCGTATATTTTGAGCCAACCTTTTTTCATGTGGAAGTAATAACTAAAAGACAATTTACTAATATTTATGGAATTTGAACATAATGGGATTGTGTAAAATTACTATTTTAAAATATTTGGAGGGAAGACAGATGGGATTTCCATATACAGTTGTTTTTGTTTTTTAGAATCTTTTCTGGATTCTGTGCTTTCTTTCAAATGTGTTGAAAGAAGAATGAATTAAAATATGAAAAAGTTATATCAATTATATTGATAACAGTAATATGTGATCTACTGTACTTCAGTAGCTTAAGAAACTTGTGGACATTTTCAGTGACCAGCTAAATTTTTATCAATGTTCAAGAAAAAATATTTAATGTACATATATTCATTCTTGATTGTTTGATTTATATTTGGTATTTTTTTTTTCAGGAGTTTTGCATATAAAACAGTGAAAGACAGGTTACCGGTAATATTAACCAAGGTGATTGACTTGCTCTTCAGAGAACGAAACAATATTGCAAACATATATGGAGAGGTATTTTTCAGTTTTCTAGCATATGAAAATTAACATATTTAGAAATACTTATGTTGTTAAGATACAAACTATAAATGAGAAGTAGTTGTGTACTCTAGGTCTACATATTTTCAAACTTTTACATTGCATCTTGCATTTCACATTATTTAAGTATAGTGTATCTCGTATTCCATTTGATACCAGAAGTGGGTAATCCGTAGATAAGTAGTGCTTGAACTTCAAGTATGGAGCAAAGCAACTATACATATACTAATATATAGGTGTTTATTTTTTAAATCAATACTTTACTTTGGATGGTATTCTCAATATTGACAAGTATTCATTAAGCAAAAATATAAATGTCCTAGGAAAGAACTCTAATTACAAAGGTCTACATGATGGGAATGTTGCCTACAATTTTTGAACAAATACATAAAAAATTATTAGAATTACGATAAGATATATCTGCACAAACTTGAACTTGTTTACTATCATATCCTTATACTTTTAATGTGTGTTTCAAATCCTGTGTAAACCTACTTTTACAGTTTTGCTCAGTTGAAGATCATCATTTCAACTGCATCTGTTGCTTTTTTAATGTAAGCAACATGTTTAAACAACATCAGTCTTCAGTACACTGTTGATCATCCTTATGTGTGTTAACTGGTAAAAGATGATATTGTTTAAAAATGGCATGGTTATTTGGTCATAAAAACTATTACTTATATAAAGTGTCATCTTTTGTGATATATTGAAATATTTAAACCTTTTATTTCATGGTTCAAATATACAAAATTGAAAAGGAAAATTCAGCCAGTAAAATTATAACTTAATTTCCTAGTATTTGTTTTTTTTCTCACACTCGCATATTTTACATCAAACACTTTTGTTTGATTTACGTTTTTTTTCCCACTTTGGGTGTTATACCTCTAGTAATATTTTCACAGGATTCAGATGGGGAAGACCCATCATTGGATTTTTCTACTATTAGCTATCATGAGATTTATCGTTATATGGGTCAACCTTCTTCTCCTGAACTTGCCCCACTAACCCTCCTGAACAAGCCAAACCTATTCAGACTGATAAAGATTTGATAGCGTTTTTATACCACCAGATTTTGCCATGTTTTTCCCTACGCCTCCTGCAGAATCAGCTAGGCCTAATATGGCAGTTTTGACATGATTTCTCAGGTATGTTATTTTGTATCCAATTCCCCATTTTTTTCTATGATTCTTTATTACTTCCATGTTGGCTTGTTTGTTGTCTTCAGCTTTTGCTTTACACACATGGTTTCACTGTAGTTATGATTTTCTGGGTCATGATGTGATCTTGTCCTGGGTACATGTGCCACATTTCTGTATTAATTTTTTGATGATATGTTTGTGATTATGTGTTTGAGGCTTTGGAATCTTGTGTGTAATCTATGTGTTGACACTTGACTCTTTTCTCTTTGGTTGCATGTTTGTCGCAACTGGAGCCATGACAAACCCCAATTACTTTCCTGTCCTGGCCCTTATCTCCCCATCCCTATCCCCTTTCCAGGGGTTTCTCATCTCGTTGTTTTATTCATTGATGATGGGCATGTTGCCAACAGTACTGGATAATAACCACAGGGTTCCAGCCCAGTGGGAATTTGACTATATTGTTACCCTTTGGTGATCTTTCACTACAGTTCTATGGCTGGGTTAACTTGCTGACAGCATGATACTCCTGTGTGGATGTCAGTTCCCGGTGGCATGAGTTTTGAATGTTGTTGACTTGCCACATACGGTCCATCATGCCCCAGCCACTCTACACCTAGGGGCACATCCTTTTCATTTTACCCACTTTTATACTTTCTGGGATTGAGTTTTATAAATATTGCATGGATTGGATCACTTTCTGGCCATAATTTTCTTTCACTTGGATGTGCCCCTCTGTTTTTCATCTATATATATTTGACATTTTTCTATGATGGGTGAAGAGTATATCTGGTTCACCTCATCAGATCTTCAAAATCTGACTGTATAATCTTAGGGAGTGTCCTTTGGATGCTTTTGAAAGATACTTCTTTATTTACCTCGCACCGGTCCCTCCACCTATTCAGTGTGGGATTATAGCTATTTATGTGAGAAGAGGTAATGTACCGTATTGGAAGTTATAATTTTCCTACACTGAAAATGTATTTCTGATAGGTACTTCCCACCCTTCTTCCCCACTGAAAATCGGTGCTTCCATCTTCTGCCAAAACCCAAAGTGATAGTTTGGTGGAATGGAATAGAGGGAATCACAAGTGTCATTAGAGTATGTTGTACTCCTATTGGTGGAAGCTTGACGCATAATGATTTGCATGAGTGATGCATTGGAATCAGCCAATTCCAATGGAGGGGAGATAAAAGGCTTGTGGCATGTGTAAAAAATCTTTTTGCATATAGAAGGCAGCACTGAATAAGAATAGATATTTATGTGAGTGGAAGTAAGTACATATTGGAAATACATTTTCTGTGTAGGAAAATTATAACATCTGTTTTATGTTGGACTATAAGATGTTTGGGTCAGTAGTAGAAGGAATAGTCTTCTCCATTTAAAGATTAAAGTAAGGTGTACTCTTTCTGGATTGAGCAGGTTAGTCAGAGCGAACCACCTGGTATTGTAAATATTGCACTTTTACTAAAATTGTAAGGTGCTGTGTACATATACAGTGCTACAGAGAGGATGTGTATGTGTGTAAATACATTTTTTTACATAAAAATTCATTAGAAGTACAAATTGTGCTTACCAGATACACATTTTATTTACTGGTATGTATATAATTCACATATGTGCATATTTACAAGCTTGAAAGAAACAGAAACTTGTATTGGTAATAAAACAAACAGAAAGCATGGGTGACCATTCTCATTGTAAATTTATTCACAAGCTATACACTGTATTGATGATTTGATAAAAGGTCATTTACATAAAATCCTACAACTAGTTTGTATCCCACAATTATGTACAGGTCTACTGTGTCTCTTTAATTTCTTCTTCCAAGCAGTACTGAAGAGCCATAATTTGGCTAAACTACAGACTGAAGAGAGAGTAGTAAATCACAGATTCTTTTTTCTTCAATGAAATGACAAGTTATACAGTGATTATTGTTGGCAATTACCTGTAATTGGAAGTTACTGTTGAAGTGAAAATTAAGCAGTGTAATTTATCTGTTAATATCACAAAAGCACTTACTGTATTGAATACACACTTTATTTGTCTCGGGTGTTCTTAGTTGCATGTTAATACAGAAATATGAAGAGCAATCGCCTACTAAACACAGCAAAACAGCTCCAAAATCTAAGATTTTAGACAACAACAAAAAAGTCATTAAAACTAAAAAATGTACAAGTTTTTAATTACAGCATTGCAGTTTATTTTGATGAGTAAAATACTTGTTATCTTATTTGGTGCACTGCATATTGCACAAGTAACACATCTCAAGACAGCTTCCATGCCTGAGGGTGTTCAGGGTGCTGCAACAATCATTGGTGACTCTTCCAATGAGTCAGACAACATCTGAAGGCATTATGAAAATTTAGTGTAAATGTTAAGTGAAATATCTCGTTTATACGGATGAGATCAGATGTTATGTTCTCGTTATTTTATTGTTTCTTTGACAATTGTTGAATAAAGTGAAAACAATATATGTAAGTAAAAAAAATTATAATAGTTTGCAAAATTGTCATATTATAAAACATTTTCCTTTTTAACACCAGGTGCCGAACTGCTCATGGTTAAAATGTTTCCCTGCAACTATGATCGCTCAAGAGTTGGCAGATTTCTCTAGTTTAATAGCTGTTTTCTGCAGCCAATAGACGTACAAAGTCGTTTTTAAACACACGACTACAAGTAATATTCAAAAAGTACATGGTGGTTATTCTTACTTTGGAATGAGGCAATTTAGAGGAGGTGCTGATTAAACTCTATGATATATATATATATATAT